TATATCAGCTGTGCAAACCATTAGCTTTTTTTGTTTTGTTTTCCAACCATGGCTAAACAGGGTGACGACAAAGAAAAAAGTGGATTATCTCTTTTGTTTGCGCTTTGGATTTTTTCGATGGTTGAGGAGAAAATGTCTTTCATTGTTGATTGCACTTTTTCCTCTAGGGACATGCAATAAAGTGACTGGACTGAGATACCAGGAGAAAAACTATAACAAGATCACCTTGTTGATAATATTTCTGTTCACTCTTTGAGTTTGTTTGTCATTACAGATATTGAGGCAGATGAAATGTTATTTTGCAAAATGGATCTTTTTTTTTCTGCTTTCCAAAGCTCAATGATAAAAACAGGGAGCGCCAGAGAGTTTGATTTTGAGAAGAGAAAAGTGAGTTTTGTACACTTTTCTGCTGGGAATGTTTTTGATACGCCCCCTATCTTGCACTCCAAGCAGGATCAAAAACAGATGCCATAGACCATTTACAGATATACATTGAGCCAGGTCTGGTTTTGCTACACTACGCTCCAGAGAGAGGGAATGTGAAATATGAGGCACAGTGCAATCATGAGCTTCCAACTTTTACCTTCACACTCATATGCAGAGCACCCATGTAAATATCACATTTGTAGGCACGTCACTCATTTGTTTCCTTATGTTTGATGCAATGTCCATTGCAGTTCTCAGCAGCACTTGCTTTTCAACACTGAGTTTTTGGTTATTCCTAAATACCTACTGGAGTTTTTTCTTGTATTTTTATCAAGCAAAATATGTTCTGATTTTCACTGAAATGTAAAAAAATACTAATTTTCTAAAGCACAAAAGTTGATAACGGTAAGAGAAATTAGAGATTAGAGACTGTATACACACGGACACGGACATTGACACCCATACACTTTCACGATGCACACAAACATACATACCTGCATACTGTACACAGGAATGTGTTTGAGTTCAGTGACACGGACTAAGGGTTCTGATGGATGTAGATGAAACGGTGAACCTTCTGTAAATGTTTTCTTTTGTTTCTTTTGGTTATGATATGGCCCTGTAGAATCTGATTCTCTGCATTAGACTTTAAATAAAAAGAAAACAAAGTGAAGTCTTGCCTATCCCTGTGTCCTTGTGCTACAGATTTGCCAGACAGAGATGTATGTCTTTGTCTGGTCCGTTTGAAGTTCACTGATCACAAGTGAAAAAAAATGTCCATTTAAATGTGCTATATCAATTTTGTATTTTAAAACATAGACGAAGATTTTTATTCGGACCGAGATTAGACTGAAGAATTGTTCCTCAGTCAGTCAGTCCAGCACTTCGCAACAACTTTTACATGGGTTGCCATAGAATTTCATTCAGGCAGGCATGTGTTTCCCAAAGGCTGAATCCCTCTGACTTTGGGGATCCCCAATCTTTTGCTGAAGTGCCACAGCTCAAAGTTTTCATCATCCAGTGAGATATCTTCAAAATCTACCATATAGACCGAAGGAATTTTAGGACAGATAAAATTGATTATGCTTAAACTTTTCATCTGGTGTCATTATGCGCTTCATATGAATGTTGCAGCTGAATGCCCCTCACCTCACCCTCGCTTTCCATGAAACATGAAGAGAACCTGTGGTAGCCTTCAGTTGTCATAAAAACAATAAAGATGTTTAGTTTGGGCTTCTGTTAAAAACATGGCTGCCTCCGTAGAGAGGACTCACCCCTGAAATATAAAGTCCTTACATATATATAAGGGCCAATTCTCAGGTAAAGATAAAAACAATGACACTATTTTACACACTTGTGAAAACATAAAGGGTTATTTCATATAACATTTCTCCCTTTCAACTAAATCTTGTTCTCTGGACCTTAAACACTACCATCACTATAATTTGCTGTAATTTATGTTGTAAACTAATTTGTGAGTGTCTACAAGGTAAAACACTAAACCAAGAATTGGTTACCAAAGATAGCAAACATTATACCATGCATTCGCCTGCTGAAGTAAGTTAAACCATCAGCTAGGCTGCTGTTTGAAGTTTGCCCAATGTATGCTGAAGTCAGAACCCTTGAATCTGTAACCTTAACCATAACCCTAACCCCACACCCCTACCCTTACCTGCATCCAATGTTCTAAAAGATGTTACCCCCTCTTCATTTAACAGCAGTAGTGAGGATAAAAACAGGAGAGGGGATCAGGGAGTTGTATGAAATGCAGCGGCTGTCAAACTGAGGATATTGGCGTTCTGTGGTGCGTTCACATTAAGGTGACTGTGGTGCAGCCCTGAACCAACCAACTTTTTAAATCAGTGCAGTCTCCAACGAGCCACAAAGTTCCAGCCGATACAGAGCAAAAATAAAAGCAAATGTANTTAATTAAGTTTAGGGATATGGTTTTGGTGAAGCTGTCAACAATGAATGAAAGTCAACACAAACTGCAAACCTACTGTGTCTGTGTGTGTGTGCAACTATGTAGAGAATGTGATTGTGGTTATATTCACACGGATCTGTTTCGTAGGTGTAGCACTCTCGAGTGAAGCATATTTGTGTGGACCCACAAAGTTCCCTAAACTCTGGGTTTTCTATGAGTGTGGAGTATTCGTCTGCTCACACAGGAAACTGTTTTTTTCCTGCCCTGTTACTATTCATTTCCTTCCTATGGTATATTTTTAACACTCCTGACTCAATGAGGTTGTCAAATTTTTACAGTCGACTTGACGACCATAAACTTAAAAAGCGGAAATAAAACTCCAGTAGCTCCAGATGTGTTCCCATAGAGGTTTTATTTGTGTGTGTGTGTGTGTGTGTGTGTGTGTGTGTGTGTGTGTGTGTGTGTGTGTTTGACTGTGTGTGTGTGTGTGTGTGTATATAATTAGTGGTGGTCACAGTGGCTGGATGATGCCTGTCTTCAAGCCATAAAGAAACAGCAGTCCAACCATCTCTCAAACTGACGTCTGAATTTTGTTGCTCATTATTTATCACAATCTTATCTCCTCACTCTTTCCCCTCTTCTTCTCCTGCCTCTTTTCTTAAGCCTCCACCTCATCCCCGTCTTCTCCCACCCTGCCATGAGACTTTAGGTGCAGGGGAACGTGCGCTTCTTCCTTAAAAGCATGTGAGCTGCCAAGCCCTGAGACGGTTATGTAATAAAGCTGCTTCTCGCTTGCAGAAGAGCAGCTAAAGTAGAGGTTTTTTTCCTCTCTTTCTCTCTGCCTGGTTCTCCTCCTCCTCCCTCTCTCTGTCTGTCACTTTTTAACCTCATAGGCACAGATTACCATGTTTTTTTTTCTTTCGATATGCATTATTAGACATAGTTGAATTTGACAAAAGCATTGTGTGGATAAATATTGGCAGTCTTTTTACAACCATCTTCTAGTTTTCCTAGAAACTCCATTTAGAGTCTGTCCATGAATCTTGTTTTTGCAGGAATTTATGAAGCTTCAACCAATCCCTTCAACACTTATACTGAAAGACTCGTATTATTTCTCCTATACACAAGGAAGGCAGATGCAATTTAAAACACTGTTGTTTTGCTGCTTTACATCTCTAGTGGCCAAAATAATCACTGATCCGATTGCTTTTCGGGCTTATATATAAATCTGAGTTGGCTGACTACTCCAGTACTGTAGGTGGTGGTAACTAGCGAGCTGATAGATTTGGATCAATTAGGAAAGAGACAGTTAGATATTGTATTGGGCATCTGTAATACATATAAATATAGGTGGTCATCTTTTATCGAATTTTTTGGGAATAAAGGAGGGAGCCTTTTGGGGCATTTATTGTTATAGTGCACCCAAAATGAATTATGTTAGAATAAATGTCGCATCTCGCATACACATATCTTTCTCGTGAAGGTTTACAGAGATAACAAGGCTTCAGATCAGCCAAAGGGGGGGAGGAGTCACTCTGTCTTTCTCATACATGTCCCAGGTACCTTGTGCTACGTCCAATTCTCAAGGCTCTAAATCCTCAGGCTCTAGCCACATCAGGGGCTCACAGCTCCTAAGATAGATTTCTATCAGT